GAACATATACAATATTGGCCATAAATAGTGATTTCAACGATGTTTAAAATCCTTTTCAAGAACAAAATCTACAGTTTCGCCATTGTCTATAAACCATTTCCTAGTTGCATTTGCGAACCGTACCTACAATTTATCTTGCATCTACAACTCTCAAATTGTTCATTGAAAATCATAGTCTGTTACTATTGAAATTATAACAGCATTACATACTTGCGGCACCGATAATCTATGATCATCAACAGTCAACAAACTTTGGACGATAACACAACAATGACCTTGGCCGTAAATACATCAGCGAGTATACTCTCCCATATAGGTGATTGGAGGGGAAGGTGCAGGTGGGGGGGAGGGTATAAAGGTCGTTAGATAGAAGCTTCTGGTGACAAATGTGACAAATATTCAGGATGATCTGTGACACAACACATAGCTAGCATTCTGAGAGCACGCGAGCGCGCATTCTCAAGAATCTACATACAATTAGCTGCCAAAAATGTTCACTGATTCACAAACGAAATAGATTTTGTACTCGTAACCTTGTAGTAGAGAAATGATACTATGAATTTAAAGGGTTATATGTTAATGAATAAATGGAACCTATACTAGATCAAATTGTAGGTATTATATCTTTCTTCTTAATACATAAAAGTTTGTGTCATGTTGTTTGTCCACGATAGAATCCTAAACTACTGAATCTATTTAGATGAACTTTTATATGTATACTCGATAGGTCTGTGAATAGGTTATTATCTATTTTTTATACTCAAGTGATAAGGGTGGCCCACCCCAATAAATGTTCTTTATATTTTTGGACTAATTTTGTATATTTTCATAAACTTGTTTCCTTATTTTAAGATAGTGGACCTTAAAATAAGAAAACAAGTTACCCCTAACATCTCTTCTTATATTCTCCCGCATCAATATATATTCCAGTTTCATTTTTTTAATTTATGGATAATAATGGTGATGCTTGCGGTATGCAGCGACGGGGCACCAGTGAATGATGATAGAATTAGAATAAATTCAGTTCAGATTCAACAGAAATTTACCACGGCTGTTTAAATCGCCACCAAGGACTACCATGGAGTTTGTCTTGACATTGATAGTTTCCATTACCGCTTTTCTGCTGCATCTAATTTTGTACTTTTAAATTTCACACAATATTTATTGTCAAGTATTCTAAATTAAAACAAAATAAGAATCATCTGCTTCTCCCTTTCAGTGAAGGTGTAAAAGCCTAATGCGTCCAACAGTATTAGGACAATTTGAAAAAAACAACTTCTGAGTTTCAAACTACTTTGTGGCGAAAATCTTTCACAACTGGAGATGTGAGAAACACAAAACGGCCAAAAATTTTAATTGTATTCTCGAGACCTCCGTGGTATTGTGACCGAATATTTATAAAGGTCATAAGCTTATTAAAATTTTGATAAATTTGCATTGATTTCTTAGAAAAGTACCGCTGACACGCGAATATTCTTTATTTATATGTATACATATATCTTTACTAATATTGTAAAGAAAGAAAGAAAGAAAGAAAGATTTTAGTTTTTGAACGTTAGTTTATTCATAATAAACTAAAAAAAATCTCACATGTATAATAAATAAATAATTCTGTACCGTTGATAGAGTACCTTAATATACTCGTAGTTTTTATCATAATAATATATTTTATATATCAATTACATTTTTATTCATATATATACTGGAACTGTTTAAATTTACCATCGCCCCTTTATACCCATATTGAGCAAAATAAAGTGATTCTAAAACTTCTTTTTTTTTAAATGGACTAAAATTGTATTTAATAAATAACCCTAGACAATTAACACAGCCAGCTAATCCCTCGGTAAGCAGAGCTTCAGTTATGGATACTAGACAACTGATACAAATACTTAGATAGTTTTTTTGTAAATACATATATAATATAAATATGAAACACCTAGACCGATACAAACAATCATAGTCATGAATACAAATGGTATACCATTGAAAATAAACTCCTAGAGTATTAAAAAAATTCTTACATAGGTATATTATATTCTTATATAGGTATATATATTATTATGTATTTCACCATTCCGTCTTCACATCCCTAGAGAAATAGTCATGAAGATAGCCATGATAATGTAATGACCAACCATAGAGAAGGCGAGATCGTACCCCATATATTGTCTCTGTTTTGGGGCACTTGCTGCTATTTTCGTGACCCGAGGGAGCATTAAACGTTATCTTTACCCGAATAGAACTATCATCCTAGTTTGGGTGATTTTCTAACTATATTAAATAACTGTAGGGTGTGAAATCACTTTCAGTGATTTAGCGATAGGGAGCGTGGTGATTAATATACTTCTATAGTAGGTAGGTACGGTAGGGAAAAAATATTAATACAAAACGATTGACGTTCACAAGCGGCTAAAATGTCCTACACGAATAAATGATTTTTGATTTGGTATTTAACTGTATAAGTATGATTATACCCCGTTATATTTTCTTAACGGGTATAGTTCTATACCTTTTTGCAATATTAAAAAGTTATAAAACTTTTAAATTATACAAATGCAATTGATTATTTCAAGCGCACATGCGCTATTTACGTTAAATTACGATCTCGGTGGTCTAGCGGTTTAGCACTCTACCTTAATTCTTATGGTTGCAGGTTCGATTTGAATGTATTTACAAGGTTTGAATGCAAGGTTGCATTGCAAGGTTTGAATGTATTTACAAAAAAATGTATCTATGTATTTGTATTAGTTATCTAGTAATAATGTCCATAATACAACCTCTGCTTAGCTTGCCACTAGATGGCGCTGTGTGAATTGTACAGTTTTTTTTAAATATGTTACAAATATGAATATATTTTTTATCTTAATATTTCTGTCACGGAAAATTTGAAAATCTTTCAATGTATGATTATGACTAAAGTCTGGATGACTCCATCTTTATACAAATAAAGAGTTTTCGTGACAGAGTAATGAATTACAGAATAGAGATTTATTATAAAACCTCTGTTCTTGTTAAAGATGGTTTAATTATTGTAGCAAAAAATCTAGTCTATTAGCTGATATATATAATTTAAATACTTAATATATGTATAATGTATATAAGTACACGCTTTACTTCAAGCACACTAATTCTAGTATTAAACAAAAAAGTCATCTAAGTCGATTAAAAATAAATATTAACTTCACATTTCTAACTATATACTGATTGGTTATTCTGGGTGTTCCCTCAATACTAACTATATTATTTGGTCGGTCTCTCAAAGAACTCTGCGGACTCGTTCAAAAGCCACCCAATGTCTATTTATTAAGATTGCCGAAACGTTTCTTCCATCATGGTGATAGTCGATCGGCACGTAATTACAGTGTGTAACAACTCATTTCCAAGAAATACCATGAGTCAAGTGATATAAGGCCAGAGATGAATGGATCTCGCCCGCGGCCAGCGCGCTGACTCATCCTGCGTCCATTCATAAATTTTGCCGCGCTTTCTAGTATAGTGTATTAATTCACCGTTAGATGGCGCTGTTTCTAATTATTGCGCAATATGTATTATAAAAAAAATCGTATAGCTACTTCATTCATTACAACATTCGAAAACATGTTATTATATTGTATAGTATATATGCAGTAATTTTGTTTAATATTTTATAGTAAATTATTTTAGTAATGATGAGGGAATGTTCCAGCTGTTTATTGCTTTATAAGTGCTAGTATTATACATAAATACAACTTACACATGTACCTCTTCAGGCATAGCAATCTAAACAAGAGAAGTAGACGTACATACTATAGTATCTTCCAGATATTCCTTATAATCTAAATATAATTCCTAATACCATTATAAGGAATATCTGGAAGATTTAACGAATCAACTAATACAGTTTAACGTATTTACTTAACTTATTTTCTTCTTTTATATATGATGACAATTTATTATTATTGTTTATTTATTTATTTATTATCATACCATAATATAATTAGGAGCGTGTAGTTCGGTATAAAACTGGATTGTAATCCAACACTATGTATGCCTAAAAGCTAAATTATATAGACACTTGAGCTAGTTCAGTGTATCAAAATATCTTTCATCAATCAAAACATATTTACTTATGTAGGTGTTACCGACTCCTATGACATGTCAAATCTACCGTCAGTTCGAAATGCTTTCGAAATTAGTAGAACTGACAAGAAACTCAGGTCGTATGTTTTTCAAATATGGTTGTACATGTTTATAATAAAGATTAATTTTTAAATTCAAATTTTGGAGAATACAGCGACCACCAGCAGCAGCAATAGTCCCTTGGTAGGGATGCAATGTGTTACCGTACTTTATACTCTACATAATATGATGAGCGTGTATGTCAATAGTTGTTCATGTATGGGATTTTCATTTAATGTTTAAATGAAAACTCCGTGCATGAACATGTACTATGTAAATAAACTGACTATAAAAAAAATAAAAAAGAAGAAATTCATTTGAGTTTCTTGCCAATTCTTCTCAATTGAAAGTAATGAACTGGAAAATTTAATACAAAAAAAATTACGTTCAAATGCGGCTAAAATGTCATACAGGAATAAATGATTCTTGATTTTAATTTTGATTTTACAAATAGCACAAAGTTACTTCAAGCCTCATGTTCATAAAGTTTACTGAAAATATGTTATATATGTAATAATAACTTTTTCTGGCCCGAAGGACGTACAAACATTTTTTTATTTCAAATAGGTTTACATTGAACACTTCCTTAAAAATCAAGGGTAATAGAAGGATACTATATAAGTACGTCGCTATGTATTTTCTATATAGTTTGTGGTCTCTATAATTACTATTTAATATTCTTCTTTCAATCCTTCTTTTTCGTTTGGGGAAATCCGTAATGGAAACCGCCGACAACCGCTGGCGGTTCAATTTGAATTTTTTTTTATAGTTTTATTATATAATTGACCTGCCTCAAATTCCTTATCTGTATTACAAGTTATATGTATAAAAATACTTACGACTTTCGTCGCTTGCGGGTGGCCTCGTGGAGGCAGTCTGGTGCTCCAGCAGTTGTGGAGGTGGCGGCTGGCCGTGTGCTCTCGCATTCTCATGAGCAAGAAACGTAACAAAGGTACGCGCCGCCTTCTCATCAGCTTCACATATCTGTGCAGTATAAATATAAATTATACCTAGGGTCATGTCACTAAAATAGTTCAAGTATAAATTATATCTATAGGGTAAAATTACTCAACGCCATCTAGTCTTAAACTGGAATAAGCTTGTTTTATGAACTTAAGCTTGTTTGACGGCCGCGATGGTCTAGCGGTTTAGCACACCGCTTTACATCCGATTGATATTGATAAAATAATGAAAAAATAATGACCTCAAGCCAGTTGGCCTCTGTGAGCTTGAGCAGTAGCGCACCAGCGCGGGGGAGGAGGTGCCGGCGGGGTGCACGCACCCCAAACTTGTTGAACATGAAGCGCAACCAACGCCGGATGTCACTCCACTCCCATACCTCAGGATCTGAAACGGAATTGTTGTATAAATCAATATAATATTGGTTGTGTCCCGCCGATACAAGTTTTTTTTATGTATTTAGAATCTTCTTAAATATACAACATAATTATTTTTTTAAGTTTTATGCCTTTGTTTTTTTTAGAAAAGTCAAAAGCCATTTTATTGGAACGGGTATTACATTTTTAAAGGGTATTCTGAACTTAAAAACATTCTTAGTGTACAAATTACTAAACAATTACTAAAATGACAACAATAGATTTCGAACTAAGTAGTTGTTTTTTCAAATAACATTTATAACATTATTAATAATACAACATCTCTACATAGTATAAAATAAAGTCGCATACGCTGTCTGTTCGCTTAGATCTTTTAAACTACGCAACGGATTTTAATGCAGTTTTTAGCAATATATAGAATAGATATAAGTAGGATTCAAGAGGATAGATACAAGTATAACATATATGCCAGTGCGGAGCTAGGGCGGGTAGATAGTTATACAATAAATAACAGATTAACTTTAGACAGAATTTCTTGCCAGTTCTCTACTGAAACTATATGCCTGAACATCACCACAGTTGAAATATTATATAAAAAAATTACTTTTTTTGTTTAAGCTACTCATGAGTGGAATTTACAGTAGATTACTTAGATTTAGAGACTTAAAGATGGAGTCATGCTGTATCAAGGTTTAAAGAGTATGATGGAAGATCGTGGACAATGGCAAGAGCTTCACCGACAAGAGCGTCGCTCTGGAATTATGAATGAATGTTGAGTTTGAAGAAATTGGATCTCCAGTTCCGTTTAGTTTTTTAATAATCGTAGCTTAATGCTATTAAACAGCCTTTACGATTTATGCTCCATCCAATCGAATCAAAATTGCTCAAATCCGATTAGTAGGTATAGATATTTAGGGATTAAAAGCAAGCAAACACTTCAGCTTTACTTTACACTTTTATTAGTTGACATATAATTTTACCCTATTGTTTAGTGTTGCAAGAAGTTTCAACAGACAAAAACAATCTATGAAATTTTTATACAATAATAATATAACACAGGTAGTTCAGCAGTTCACAACTAGTTTAAAAAACACATTTTTTATGATCTTTACATAAAAATATAAGTGCGATATCTAATAAATACATATACTCTATCAACAACATTATATTGTTGTTGTCTTTACGTAGTGCATTATACATATGTAAGTGGCGAGCCCAATTTAAAAGATATTTAACTGATAAATTGATCAATTTTTATTGGTAGCCTTTTTCTACTATACTACTACTTCTACTATACTCTACTACCAATTTGGTAATTGGAATGACAAACAAACTGACTTACTGATGATGATAAGCATTACGATAGTCATGAATACATTACGGGGGTTACTTTTTCATTTGAGACCCGTGATGCCACACATGTGCCATTCCAAAGAACTCAGATATCATCCTTCTTATACTTCCAATAATAAAAGAACTGATCGTTCGAAATATAAATTTTCCTGTGTCCCTAGTTCAGCTATGTTAAAATCTGCAGTAGAACAGTCCGGCATAAAGATTGCTGTTGTTATATAATAAAACACTTTTAATTTATTTTAATTAATTATATTTTATTTGTCTTAGCACATATTTTTATTATTATACTAGTACTTAAAAGAAATTTGACAGATAAAAGCAAGGTACAAAATTTAACTTTTAATTTGTACTTACACGAGACATATACCGTACACGCTTCTATTGTTAATATGTACAGTGAATTTCTTTTCTATCCGGATTCTATCTATGAAAATCTAGAAGTGGCTTCGCTGTTTTAATTATATTTATTATTGCATCTGTAACTAGTATTCGTTTTCCAAATATAAATAAATAAAGTAATGTTGATTGAATTGTAAAGAAAATCTGAATATAACCTATTCGGATCTATAACCTAGACGAAATCCCTTATGTTCTTGACTTGTTAACCTTCCAAATATTACGTAACTGTTATCTTTAATCTGTTATCATTAATTTCTTACATGTATGTGATAACGTAATTATGCGAAGCTGATTTCTCTGAATTCGAACTCGTGCCATTTACTCTATGTAATCATATTACAATATCCATGAGATATGATAGTAATTTATGCCTAATTAAACAACGTTTTACTTTTTAAAACAACAACCTTGTAAGTTCTGAGAAAGCAAATTTGGAACAGTTGAAAATAGGGCCCTAAAGGCTTTGTCTCATTGGTAAAATTATTTATCTAAGGCTGGTGGATTTCATTTTTTTTTTTTTAACAGATTAACAATGTAAAGTGCGACATGTGACGGACAGAAATATACATCCTTCGATATTCATTTCCTCTATAAAACTGTAGTACATCACTTTACGCTATTGTCAATAATTTCCGCAGAGTACTAGATCAATTATTGATTGTATTTGATAAAAAAGGATTGTATTTGGTATTTTTCTCACACATCGAGTTTCATTAACGAAGTTTTCATACGGATTTTTTTAAAGTTTTTATAAATATTCTATAGACTGTGTACATTAGGGATAGTGTAGAATTCTAATGCTAAAAGAATTATCCAAATCGTTTAGTAGTCACGGAGTCTATTCTAACAAAAAAATTAATATTCCTTCTTTATAATATTAGCATAGATATATCAGAGTAGCAGGGGAAAACCTACCACCGTATTGAATTAATTTAGTCTACTGCCGGTGTTTATATCATCAGAGAATTACTGAGGAACATAAATTAACAAACATTTTTAGTATCGATTGACGATCTTTGCGTATATTATATGAAGTATCGAGCCACTGAGCTATGATAGTTTCTAGCAGTACTTTTATCTTATTATTTTTGAACTTTTTATTTCTTATGTACTACGTAAGTAATAAATTCGTCGCCCATTTAGTCTCATGTCTTACCTATTTCAGCTCGTCATAAAACAGCTTCTTTGTAAGCAGTATTTCTATTGAAGTGTGATATAACAGTGAAATTTCAGCCTACAAAGACATGATACCTTATTCCACACTCCTTAGAAAGGCTACGCATGGAATAACATAAGAGTCTCATAAGGATCACATAAGGACATCTTCCGTCATTTGTCATTGAGTTGACCGCTTGTGGTGTGCTTGCAATTGTAGTTATATAAAAAAATCATTTCAATATATTTATAAGATGTTAACGTAAACGATCAAATATTTATTATTCCTTATTACATTATTGTTATAGTAAACTGATCACAAATTTATTTTATGCGTCAAACTAGGTATCCTTTTTTAGTTTAATTTTATTTACAAATTTTGTTCATTGTCCATGCTTTATTCTTTTACTATAACTATGTTCAGGTGACTCTATTTTGTTCTTTTAGTGAACAGCCATCTTAAATTTTACTCTATATTTAATTTTGTTCATTTCTAGTGGCCCACCTTAAATTCAATATTTACAGTTTTTTGAGTTTTATACATATAAAACCATAGCCTGTGTCTCTAATCTAACAATATCAATTCTGTAATAATAAATGTGCCTATGAAATGATGAATTTCTTAGTACTAGGTGTACTGTTGTTTAGAGTGGTGTGTTTAGAGCTTACTTTCCTAACAATAAAATGGTCTCTCTCTCTCTCCTTTTGCAATATTAGTATATATTTATACAATTATTTCGTGATATTATTTATTCAATGAATTTAGGTCGAAAAAGTAATAAAAACCATTGATAAAATACAAACATTGTAAGAAACGTCCAAAATATTTTGTTTTTATTTTAATAAATAACTATTATACCCACCTATTTATCAAACTACAGTAACGTAATTTGTTCAAATTGGATACTGACATATTATTATGTCAGCACCCAATATAGAAAGTAAAAATTTTAGAAATTAAGAAAGTGTTATTGCATTTTCTTCAATAATATCCCGTTAAAAATATGGTCGATCTTTAGGCCTAAATGCATTACATATCTAGTCACTAAATATAATTTATTTAGCCATTTATTTTATAATATTGTAATGAATTCCTTTTTATTATCAGATCATGATTATTATATAAGTAATATATAATAATTACGAATATTATATCTAGCTATATAATACGAATGACATAGTCATAGGTTTTGTAAAATTGCAACTCAATAAGATACTAGTTGAATGTTCTCTAAAATAATTTATAGACATATCGAGTAACTACCATTTTTCTTACTTAAAAACTTTACGTACATGTGTTTGTATATTTTTTTTATAATATTATTTTAAGTAGTTTCAAAATAATTGACATATTTTATCTATCTTAGCACTTGAAATGAAATGGTTAAGATATTTATTTATTAGGCATAATTTAGGTACATATTTTTTAAATATAGTCGCCGTATATGCTTAAATGTAAATCCATACTTATCTACTGTTGAATAAATAATAGTTCCCACCTATACAGCCATATAAAAGTGCACAGTGAATGAGTCTCATACATGTTTAACAAGAATTTGAATCCTCATGTTATCCATTTTCCAATACTATTAATAATAGGTACTACTAATAAAGAAAATATAAAAAATATATTTTAGATGGGTCAGTCGTCAGCTTGCGGAAAACTTTTATCATTATAACAATAGTTAACTATAGTTATATATCCAAGTATGATGGATGTATGGATAGATCCGTTTCGAGTCCTAATTATCTATATTTCAATACCATTACTAATATAGGTAACACTAATAAAGAAATATAATATATTTATATAATATTTTCGAGAGTTCAGAACGCACAACAGTAATCAGAATAGTTAACCATAGTTATGTTGGATACATTTATTGAGATAATACATTAAAAATATATTCACACTCTCTTACAAAATGTGTCTAGATTGCTTATAACCATTATAAATCCTGTCAGGAGATGTCAAATCACAAGAAATCCTCTCCAATTGATCACAAAACACTGAATCGTATAGCCGAAAACTGCACTATATCACACATAACCTCGAATATTGGATATTACCGGTTGGGACGCACTCATCGGCTGAGTCGTCGCCGTCGTCGGCACCGTTGTCCGCGGTGGCCGAAGACGTCGAGGGCTCGGCCTCCATACAGGCATTTCGAGGCGCCAGGGTGAGCTCTGCACGGGACAGGTGTCGGGCCAGCACTAGGGTCCAACGCTCGCCTTCGCTGCTGTTTTATCTGCCGCACGCGTCATCAGAGTGACGTAGCGGTTCGTCATCTCCTGTGACGAGGAAAACGCTTTCCGAGAAGCTGCGCGCGCGCCGCGGCCGGTGCATGCACACTTGCATCTACGCCTCATCTTAACATTTACTAGTCAAGGATTTCTTTAAATTTATTTATGTGTAAAATAGTACCCATTAAATATTATTTGCAAGGTATTGACTGCGTAAATTGTGCAAATTTTATTATGCTTACTACTATTATAAATACCAAAATAACTCTATCTCTCTGTCTGTCAGACGCGTTTTCATGTCAAAACTACTGAACCGATTTAAATTAAATTTAGTACACAGATAGTCTAGACCCTAAGAAAGGACATAGGTTACTTTCTAAAATGAAGAAGGGTTGTAAGGGGGTTGAAAGGAAAAAGGTTGTTTGAAAGTATCATCATTTTAAAATCTAGAATTAAATTTTTAGGTTGTTGATTAAATAAAAATAAATATGACATTCAGAGTTTTTAAACATTTTACTCTTAAGGCTTTAAAATAAAATAGGTGATGAAAGTTTTTAAATTCGTCATTTTGATGCTAGAACGATGAAACTTTTTTTTATTGCTTTCTTCGGTTAGATTATTAATTAATTTATGCTATTCAAGGTCACTATTCCACGCGGACGAAGTCACGGGTACAGCTAATTGCATATAAATTTTTGAAAATATTCAAATAGTACCTAATACATTTCAGTGTCTTTATTTTATTTCTCCATGTAAAGTATTATTACATATTAATAATTACATCGAATGACAATTAAAGAATTATCTATATTAAGAGTTAAAATTAACACTAATATATATATATTACAATATTATACAAATATATTCGAAACAATAAATATATTTATAAATAAACATTATTTTAGAGCCAGCACATCTCATTATCATGGCTATGGTACCATAGACAAAATAATATTTCATAAAAAAATTACATACGGTCTTAATAATACAAAACTACAATCAGTTTGCCAATGTTACATTGAATTCTTTACTTAACAAAATGTGACATCCCTCTAACTATCCCGTCTGGGATCACAGTTGTAAATTTTGTTACATAAATATCTATTTTAATTACTTTAATATTACGGTATAGCAATATTAATGTTTGTATTATTGTTTTCAATATAATGGATTTCTATTATATAAAAGGTAAGCAATCTGTCGGTCTTCCAGATGGTAAGTGGTAACCGTGTAGCTTTTATACATGACTAGCTACTCGCCCCGGCTTCGCACGGGTGTACATGTATTATATATATAAAGCTTCCTCATGAATCACTCTATCTATTAAAAAAACCGCTTCAAAATCCGTTGCGTAGTTTTAAAGATTTAAGCATACATAGTGACAGACAGCGACAGCGACTTGTTTTATACTATGTAAGGATTATAAAGAGCGTTATGGACATGGCGTCGCGTCGTATCATGTGACACTCGTGATAAGTTCTATCGCACGTTACCATTCCCCAGGACTAAGATCGCATGCCTCTGCGCCCGTAATTTAATTGTGACTTTTTATGTTAGTACTCCAATTGTACCTACTGCTTTTTCCCTTAATTTGTATTATATTATTATTTCTTAAATAAAGATATATTCTTATGCAGAAATGACATACACTGTATTCTACGTCACTGAAACGGTTTATTTAGTTTAGTTATTAGTACTATATATAGTATACTTGACTTTGGCGTTTAGTTTTCATTTGAGTTTCTTCTCAATTTTATCTGTATCCTCAATTAGACCGTAGGGAAACAATATTATTCTATATATTAATACGAGAAGCAAAAACTATGTACCCATTATTACAAAAATTACGCGGATTTAAACGTTTGAAATTTCTCACAGTTATATTTTATACAGAGAAGTGCAGCTTACATTTTTTTTTATTTATGTATAAAATCAAAATTAAATAAACAAAATATAAGTACCGTGTGTTTAACACGCACATGCATAAAAGTATAGTTTTTGACAATGGAACCTTCAAGCTTACATATAATTCAAATTAATTATGGTGGATATTCAACCACTAAACCACTACCTCTAACCACTATTATTTTTTAATTCATTTGATTTATTGAAGAATTTTTAAATAAATTCGTATGTGACAAATTCTATGTAGGTATACAAATCTGAGGGAAGAGGTTGTTAGTAATGTGGAATCATGACCCCATTACTAGCAATGTACCATGACAGGTTGACCTCCACGCGGTTCCCCCTGGAAACCATCGTGATAAATTCCTGGTGAATTTGTCACGATGAACTGACCTGATCTCATGTTCATCTGATCATCCTCCACTGGTGCCACGCCAGCGTAAATCGTTAGGCCAGGCGGGTACACAATTCCATTAACATCCGAAAAATAAAATCTGGAGAGATGAGATTGTTAATACAAAATGGTGACTAAACCTATTTAATTTATAATGGATAGTAATGGAATGGTACCCGCCTGCGGTAACTGTATTCGCTGACAGGGCAGCAGTGGCGGATTATAAGATGAACATTATGTCAGGTCAGTTAGCCCATCGTGACAAATTCACTAGTAATTTATCAGCAGCATCCATATATATTTATTATCCATATATATTGTATACTAACTCTTAGCCACGACTTCGTCTGCGTGGAATTAAAATAAATAAAATTTCTAAAATCAACGTAGCAAAGTTTACTCCTAATAACATTAGCTATCTGCGAGTGGAAGTCCCGTAAAAATCGGAACGGCCGTTTCCCAAATTAACAAGAACAAATAGACAAAGAGACAAAAAGTTTTAAATTTATATTTTATATGTAAGTACCGTATATACTTTCATATGCATTTAGTGTAAAGCTGATTCTGAACAATTAAACTTTATTTATTTGTAGGTACTTATTTCATACTTAATACAGTGAAAAGTGGAAAATAACAAGATTAGTGTATTTTAAAAGAAAATCTAGTTTAAACTGGTAACTGATATGATTCATAAAGTAATGGGCATTATGCGTTCATTATTATATTATTCATTCATTCATTATTACATATTTAAATGTTTACTGTAATCCTGAACACTCACAATGTAACGCGGTCAAGGAACAGCCGCCACTCATATTTACAGCCGGAAGGAGAATGGGGCTGCATAAGTTTTTTTTACTTTTTTACTATTTCAGGCTACTAAGTAGGCGTACAACCAAGTCTTTACCTCACCTTTGCAGTCTGCGGTCGCGCCTTGACTTCTTTTTCCCTAACTCTTCCCATTTATTGATATTTGAGCGACAATAATAACAGTTTTTTTACAAATAGGTATCAGTGTCTCAGCGCCTGCACTAGCACGAGATTAAATAAACTGAACCTACAACTTATAAAAAAAAACTATTTACGGATAAATTAGAATATGAGTCTACCTACCTCGAGCTTCCTAATTCAAATGTAGCTTTGTTTATATTGTGTTTCCTGGAGATTACCTGTTTCATTAATGTTATGTGTGTTATATTAAAAATTTAACTAGGTACCAGAGTATTATAATCTTACAATGTCACCTTTCCGCCGTCAAGCAGTCTGCTTTACAAGTCTGTGTTCCGGTTCGAAGAATGACGAAAATGAAATTGGAAGGTTAAAGATTAATGATAACTTAGTAATAACTTACCCTTTGTGAGTACTCTGGTTATAGATTACCCTGTTTGATTGTTGATTTTTTTTTTATTTGTTTAATTCCACAGACAGAGGTCCGTGCCTTTGTTAATTTTATCTATCTCCATTAAAATTAATTACAATTTTATTTTATTAACATTTTATGGTATACCGCTGTATAAATTACAATTAGAGTCTGATGAAATTAAATTAATCAATTATAATTAAAATCAAACAAACTTAGACCGAATAAAACCCAAAAACTATCAATAAATAAAATTAATTCAACATTATATAATAATAAACATGATCTAACCCTGTTTGATTGTTGATTTAAATTATCATTAATCTATAACGATTAATAATAACTTAGTAGTCTTCTATTCTGAGTGATAAGTGAGATTTTATAGATACCACCGACCACATGAATTGTGGCCACAACATTTGACACGTTTACCCACATTTCTCTGGTTATATTATATTTTTTTAATGAATGATAATGGATTTGCTAACGATTGCTCGCAGGACTCCAGGTTAGGATGATAAGATGGGAATGAGGTTAAGTCAGTTAATTTAAATTTTGAGTAAATCACCAGGAATTAACCATGATGGTTTCCAGGTGAAACCGCCTGGATGTAGACCTGACACGATACATCACTAGCAATGGGATCTCTAGTCTCCATTACTAACATTTCCCTTCCTTAACATATCACCACCTCTTCTATTAATTTGTTTTTTTTTAACTATTTCTATTGCCGTATAGACACACACAATTTTATTTACTTGAAGCGATCATATTCAAACTCAAGCTAACTTTATATTTCAACGTAAGTGTATATTGGGTACTCCTAACAATTAGGCTACAACGCAAGAAATAATGATGTTCAAATATGTACCTAATTCATTATAAGAATATAAAACGACTTTGACAATCAAAACGGCGACCGAAATATTATTACTCATATACGGATGAGCGCATCTTGTGTAACTACCTATTGCTACATTACTCATGCTGCCACAACCGAAAGTGTATTATCGGAAGTAAATGTTGGTTGTACTAACATTTATAAACTAAATATAGCTCTATTTAGTTTGTGAGATTAATTCTAAAATGCAATATATATATCAAATCAAATTTATTCTAGTTGAAGATAATGGAGTGCTATTTCCGCCTGCGTTATAGCTTGAACACTGTCAGGGCACCAGTAGAGTATGATGATAAGCATAAGGTCAGGCCAGTTAGCCCATCGTGACAAATTCTTTAGGTCGTATAATGAAGATTTCTAGATGAAACCACGTGGAGATAAACCTAACAATCCCATTCCCCCCGCAATGTTGATTTTTTTAAGGGATGATAATGGAATGGTGCCATCACCTGCGCTAACGGTGTACAATGGCACATGGCGCACCG